GGGTGTGTGTGTGTGTGTGTGTGTGTGTGTGTGTGTGTTGGGGGGAATATACACCCGGGATTGTAGGGAAATGTACACCTGTCAAGGATAATGATCTGGATATATATTAGGGACATGGAGGATGGGGTGAAGGGTATGTACACTCAGTTGAGGGGAAGGAATCGGAGGGAGGATACATGTAACTGGGGGGTTGGGGGTGGGGGAGAGAGGGGGTTTGTTGGAGGAATATGAACATATGTCCTTGGTACGGAAGGGATATACACCCCATTTGAAATGTAATTTCTTGTCTTGCTGCTGTACCTGTTTTTCTAGTTGGATTTTGTTCTTCAGGTCACCTACAAGATGCTGAGCCAGTTCCTGGGCATTCATGTCAACCAGGCAAAACAGTAAGTTCAATGATTTGTGAGACACCTTGCATCACATTCCACCATCAAATGGTATGGCTACTGAACCACTTCTCGCAGTGGGATCTCCTGGAGAGGGATCCCTGTGTCACCCACATCTGCAGTGAGGAGTGGAGGAAATGGGCCAAATATGAAAAGGTTGAGGGTATAACAATCATGTGTGTGCTTCATTAGCATATTGGAATCTGGCATCCTTATTGTTGTAAAACATGTTGCAATAGGTCTTGATAGCCTCAGGTTGGAACGGATCAGATAATAGGTCAACCTTAGTTCTTTCTTTTCATCTGACATAAATTGGAATGGTATGCATGTTGTGGACATAAGTATCACAGTTTGAAGGATGTGTGTCACAATTGTAAAATCTGATGTTAAATTTTCTAATATTTGAATATCATTTGTAAGAAAAAGCTTGCATTTATATTGTGGTCATGTATAATAGAAACCTGGAATATAAGAGCAGGAGTAGGCTATTTGGCCATTTAGTATGATCATAGCTGACTATCTGTTTTAGTATGCTGTTCCTGCTTTCCCTGTGTAGCCTTTGATCCCTTTAGCCCTGAGAACTATATCTAATTTCCTTCTTGAAAGCATTTAGTATTTTGGCCTCAACTGTCTTCTGTGTCAGAGAATTCCACAGGCTCACCAATCTCTGGGTGTAGAAATTTCTCCTCAACTCAGTCCCCATATCCTTAGATTGTGACCCCTGGTTCTGGACATTCTCATTATTGCGAACATCCTTCCCAGTTCCCAGCATTTTCCCAGTCCAATCCTGTTAGAATTTTATAGATTTCTGTGAGAAAATGCCAGTAAATATAATCCCAGTCTGTCTTGATGCTACAAGACCCACTGAGGTTTTCCAGCACTTTCAGTTTCTATTCCACATGACCTCCCTGTTTACCAAGTTCATCTATATCTCCTTACATGGCTGAGTGCCAAATTTTGTTCGATTAGATTTAAAAGTTGTGAGATGCTCTGGAATGTTTTTCTATGTTAAAGTCGACTTTAAATGCCCTTTGGATGTTATTGGGAATTCTGGAGCCGATATTTTGAGGTTCATAGAATCCCTACAGTGTGAAAGTAGACCCTTGGCCCATCCAGTCCGTTCACACCCACCCAGACCCAACCCCCTACCTCATCCCTGTAACCCTGTATTTCCCATGGCTAATCTACCTAGCCTGCACATCCCTGGACACAATGGGCAATTTAGCACGGCCGATCCACCTAGCCCACACGTCTTTGGACTGTGGGAAGAAACTGGATCACCCAGAGGAAACCCATGCATGCAGATATGGGGAGAATGTGCAAAATCTACACAGACAGTTGCCTGAGGGTGGAATTGAACCTGGGTTCCTGGCACTGCGGGGCAGCAGTGCTAACCCCTAGGCCGCCCAAGATTTAGTGCCATTTCAATTGTTGCTACATGCTGGCTGCCCATGGCTATCTGCCTGTTACCAACTTTAGTAGCCCTTTTTTCTAAGAGATTCTGCTAGGGTCCATTAAAGAGTTCGTATGGATCTTTTAGCAACTGCTTTTGAAAACAAGGTTTGTCTATCTGGTTGTGAGACCGATTTTGTTCACCAGTTTAGGTTTATTACAAGAGGTTTTGCACCTTTAACTATGTCGTTTTCCCTTCTGTCTACTTCCCAGAATGCTTTTTTACTATGTGGAGCGAAAGCGGAAAGAAAATTCTGGAGCCCAGCTCCATGTGACGTATCTCGTGTCAGGGAAAGCAGTCGAAAATGGAATGTCGGTATGTGTATTTGGAACAATTAGTGACATCAGAAAACACTTGTACATTAGGAATTGTCAGGACCACTTTTTCACATCCTCTCACTTTTCTATTGTGGAATGTCCAAGGGCAAATGGCCCACCAACTTTGTGGGTTTCTTCGCAATCAAATCCCATTCACCTCAGCTATCCTTTAAGACCCCTCCCAGTCTAATCCCACCCTTCTGCTCACTCCATGTATCCTTTAATAAGATTATAAGAAGTAGGAGCAAGAGTAAAGTATTAGTCCATCGATGCAGTTCTGTCATTCAATAAGATGACGATTGATATGATTACGACCTTAACATCATTTTCCTGCCTGTCTCCCCTTCATATTTCCCCCCACCACTACTGCCACCACTACTTTCCCTTAGCTTTAACACCACTTGTTGGTCTGACATTTGCCTAACTCACCATTGAATATAGTCAATGATCCAGCCTCCACTGTTCTTTGGTGTAAAGAATTCCAAAGACGAATTATCTTTTGAGAGAAGAAATAGTTTCATGTATCCATCTCAAATAGCAGGTTGCTTATTTTGAAATAAAAGCAAAGTATTGGAGAACTGAAATTAAACAGAAAGTGTTGAAGAAACTCTGCAGGTCTGGCAGTATTGGTTCTGAAGAAGAGTCATTGCACTCTAAACATTAATTCTATTCCTCTCTCCGCAGATGCTGCCAGATTCTAGTACTTTCTTCCCTCAATTTGAAATTCTGCTTCCTTGTTCTAGATTCACCTAAAAGGGGAAATATCCTCTCAGTTTTCACTCTGTCGGAATTCCGTAGGATCTCATACATTTGAATAGGGTCACCTCTCGTTCTTTTAAATTACAATGAATACAGGCTGAATCTTTCCTTATAAGACAATACCTTCATCTTAGGAAATAGCCCGCATTTTAAACTAATTATTCAGCTCCTTTTATGATAATCTATAGCTTTATCAGCCTAATTACTCTATTCATTCTTTAAAATATGGTCCCATGCTTGCTTAGGGGATGCATGTATCTCTGGCGTGCTGCTCAGTCACATACAGTAAGAGGATCTCAGGTTCCAGCCTTGATCTGTACTGAATTAGCTGATCTCACCCAGGACATACTTGATTGCTACAGTTGGGGGTCAGTGCTGCTCGCTGGGGAGAGACCTGCTTCTTGATCTCTGTTACAACAGCACCCTCCAACATAAGCAGGCAAGCACTGGCAAAGAATGCAACTGGCATCACATCATCACAAAGGCTTTCTTAAGCAGAATTGGTTGTATGGGCTTGAGATGCTGAGATGTGGCCTGGTAGTTGTGGCATTCTCCTTGGATAGAGAGTTTAACTGGCTGGCTGATCACTCACTAACTCCAGTATTGTTTTATTCCAGTGTCACAAGGTAGCAGTGGTGAGAGAAGATCAGCTGGAAGGTAAGAGTAGACATCTACACTTAACCCAGTTATCCACATCTGTAAGCCACTCAAGGCTTTGACTAATTGTTTCATGAAGTCAACAGCATCTGTCTTTTGTGACCCTGTGACCCCTCTGCACTGGGTATAGTGCTCAAATTGCTTGTGTTGGAATGAGAAACATCAATTCCTGTAGGGGAGAACAGAGAAATTAAATTGTTCTATTTTGAGGTGAGAAACACGTGGGGCAATTCTGCCCTTTGCTCATTGGCCAGTTTGAAAGAAGGAAATAGATGTTCTGACTTAGAGTTACACAAAGTTTTCAGGTACAGCACGTAATCGAGAAGGCTAATGGAATGCTATCCTTCATGATGAGAGGAATTGAGTATAGAAGTGAGGATGTTCTGCTTCAATTATACAGGACATTTTGAGAACACATCTCAAGTACTGTGTTCAGTTCTGGCCTCCTTATTCAAGGAAGGATACAATTGGAGATGGTTCAGAGGAGGTTTACTAGATTGATAACTGCAGTAAGTGGGTTGTTTGATGAGACTAGTTTGGTCGGAGAGGGGTGACTTGATTGAAGTGCATAAGATCCTGATGGCCTTGAAAGGTGGAAGTGGAAAGCATGTCTCCCTTCGTGGGTCAGTTCAGAACCAGGGGCCAATTTTAAAATTAGGGTTCATCCTTTCAGGACAGAGCTTGGGAGTGGAATTTTTTTCTGAAGGTTGTGAAACTTTGAAACTCTGACTCAGAAAGCAGTGGGGGAGTTATTGAATATTTTTAAGACAGTTCTTTAGGAGTGGATGGGAATGTGGAATTCTAAACAAACAGATCAGCCATGATCTTGTTGAATGTGGAGTAGACTTGGCAGGCCATATGGTTTATTTCTGCTTATGTTTTATGTATTCATATGGCCTACATTGGCTCCCAGTTAAGCAGTGCCTCAATGTTTAAAACTTATGAATTGTTTTCAAAGTCGTCCCTATCTCTGTACTGCCTTCCAGACTCTCAGCCCTTAGATCTCTGTACTTCAATTCTGGCCTCTTGCAAATGCCTGATTTTGACTGCTGCACCACTCCTGGCTCTGTCTTCAGCTGCCAATGTCCTAAGCTACCTCAGATTTATCTCTTTGTTTTCTATGTCTTTGTTTTCCTTTTAAGGTGTTTCCATAGGTAATTGCCTTCCTGTTAGAGGCAGAGTGGGGAGAGAAATTGAGAGAGATTCACTAGATGGATAACAAACTGTTGGACTTGCCTGTCTTGGATGTCTGGAAATTCAGACTTGCTCTTCTAGTGTATAGGAGACTGTATAATTTCCAAAAATGTTGTTTTTATTTTATGAAAAAAAAAGTTGGTAGATTAAGCTCGAGGACCTGAATGGTCCAACCCTGATCCTTTGAGTCTCAGAAAGGAGAAGATAAGGTTCAAATAAAAGCAAAATACTGGGGTTGCAAGATGCTTTAAAAAAGAGGATACAGAAGTCATGCTCTGAAGGTGTGGAATTCAAAAATCAGTACTAGGGGCTGTAAGATGCCCAAGTGGAAAATGAAGTGTTGTTCCTTCCAGCTTGCGATCTGACGCTCAATGCCTGTGTCTGGGAAGCAGGTGGGTTAGGAAGAGGTAATAGAGATGGGAGCCTAAATCAATCCAGGTTCTCGCTCCTAATCAAGATACAGTAACTTGCTGGAAAAGGTGCGAATGTTCATCAGGCATGCGAATGGGCTGAATTTTACTGTGGTTGAATGCTGAGAATTATGAGGTGTGGCTTCGGGAGAAAGGGACATGTCAATGGAAAATTGTTACATGCCAAATATGCATGATTTTATATTCCCTGAATGTTCATATATTCACAGCAGTGAAAATGAAGATGCTGGTGACTGCTAGTGTCCACGTTTACAGCATTCAGAAAGCAGTGTTGAAGGATAGCAGTCCCCTGTTCAACACTGATTATGAAGCAATCAAGGAAAATCTTCAGAACAGCAATAAGTAAGTAACAGAAAAGGTTTTGTTGGCTTTCATAGCCCCAGCATCAGAACAGCAACTGAAGAAAGTTATCAGAGTGAAATTTGTCATGTATTTTAGAATTCCATCAATGCTAGGCCATTTAATGCCCATTTCTAATTGACCTAGAATACGCAGTAGTGAGCTGCAGCATTGAACTGCTGGAGTCCATGGAGTGTAGGGATACTCGCAGTACTGTTAGGAATGGAGATCTACATAAGTGCAGGCAATTAACATCTCTAACAAGAGAGATTCTAAACATAGCCTCCACGTCATGCAATGGCATTACCATCACCGAAACCTTCACTATCATCATCCTGACAGTTGCCATCGACGAGAAACAGAACTGGACTTGAACTGCTCCACCCAGAGCACATTCTGTGCCCTTGTCGCCCTCAACGCATCCTCCAGTTGTGCTCAACAATGATGAGTAACTGATTCTTCATCGACCGAAAGGAGCGGTAGATGGTAATCATCAGTCTGTTTCCATACCCATGTTTGACCTGATGTCTTGACATTTGATAGGATCCATGTCTGTGCTGAGGACTCTCAGCACAACATCTTCACAACTGGGTATCACAGTGTCACTATCACTGTCACGACTGTGAGAGGATCCCTGTCATTCAGGGATCATAATGGTAGTGTTTAGGACATTCTATGTTGACCAGTTAGCTTAACGTCTGTTATTAGGAAAATGTTAGTTTGTTGTAAAAGTTGTAAGAGCAAATTAGAAGTACATAATATAATCAAGCAGAGTCAGCACAGCTTCATGAAGGGGAAATAATGCCTGACAAATTTGCTAGAATTCTTTAAAGACATTACAAGCAGAATAGATAAGGGAGGCAGCGGATGTGATTATATTTGGATTTTCAGAAGGCATTGGCTAAGGTATCACACATTGGGTACTTAATAGTATAAGAGCTCATGGTATTGGAGATGGTATACAAGCATGGATAGGAGATTGGCTAGTTAGCGGGTGACAGAGAGCTGGGATAAGGGGGGCATTTTCGGAGTGGTGGCCTGTAAATTAGTGGTGTGCCATGGGAATCAGTGCTGAGGCCACAATTATTTACAATATGTATTAATTACTAGGATGAGGAAAGTGAATGTGCTACTGCCAAGTTTGCAGATGACACAAAAATAGATGGGAAGGCAAGTGCTGAGGGATATAGATAGTTTAAGCAAGTGAAATATAATGAAGGGAGATGTGAGATGATTGTCTTGTGAGGAGAGTTTGTGTAGATTGGGCTTGTACTCATTGGAATGTTGGAATCCAGCAGAATGAGAGGTGGCCTTATTGAAACATATGAGATTCTTAGAGGAAAGGTTGTTTTTTTCCTATTTATTTATTCACAGGACGAGGGCATCGCTGGCTAGGCAGCATTTATTGCCCATCGGGCAGTTAAGAGTCAACCACATTGCTGGGGGTCTGGAGTCACCAGACCAGGTAAGGATGGCAGTTTCTTTCCCTAGAGGGCATTAGTGAACCAGATGGGTTTTTCCGATAATCGACAATGGATTCACGGTCATCATTAGAGTGTTAATTCCAGATATTTATTGAATTCAAATTCCACCATCTGCCGTGGTGGGATTCGAACCCAGGTCCCCAGAACATTATCTGGGTCTCTGGATTAACAGTCCAGCTGATAATACCACTAGGCCATCACCCCACTCTCCTCTTTTTTTTTCCACTTAGAACTCTCCTCTTGTGGGAGAGCACAGGTCCAGAAGGCCTAATCTCAGAATAAGGTGTTGCACATTTAAGACACAGATGAGGAGGAATTTTTTTTCCTGAGGCTGGTGTATCTCTGGAATTCTTTACCACAGTGGGCTGTTGAGACTAAGTTGTTAAGCATATTCAAGGCTAAAATAGACAGATGTTTAACCAAAAAAGGAGTCAAGAATTATTGGGAAAGGCAGGAAAGTGGAGTTGAGGACTATCAGATCAGCCATGATCTCATTGAGTGTGGAGCAGACTTCATGGGCCTGCTTCTATGTCTTTTGTGATTATTGGGCATGTTGGCTATTTGCACAGTAAATGAACTTTCATCTTCCAGTTCTGGTGTTAATTGTAACATATAATGTTTTGAGTATTTAGTTGTGTTGGGCATTAACTAGAGATTCACCTATGCTTCGCTTGGACTTCCTTTCATTGGAGTAAGCTAAAAGCACAGTTATTGGGTTAGGCGGTACATGAGCTTAAATGTTTAGTCTCCAGTTCCATCCTTCACCGTATGCTTTCCGGATTAGACCACTGGCTATCTGTGCTAATAAGGGACATTCACTAAAGACAATATCCTGGAGGGAATGGTGATAGTGAAAATATTTTATTAAAGTGTAGTCACTTATTTAAGAAATAGAACAGCATTTGCAGTGTGTTGGGGGAGTGGATTAATTCAATTTAGATGAAAATCTGGAGTTTGAAAAAATAGTCTAATGATGACCAAGCAACCACTGACAATTGTTTTAAAAATCCATCTGATTCAGTAATGTCCTTTAGGGAATGAAATCTGCCCTTACTAAGTCTGTCCTGTGTAACACCAGACCCACGGTAATGTGATTGATTCTTAACTGCCCTCTGAGCAATTAGAGCCAGGCAATAAATGCTGGGCTAGCCAGTGATGTCAATATCCCATGAAGAATATTTTAAAAAGTAATATGAAATGATTGAATAATTTGCTTTAGTGAAAGTACTTGGAAGATTGATATTCTTCAGAGAAGTGGGTCCTTCTCAATGTCCTGGCTAATATCCATCCTTTTCAGAGTAGTGCCATAAATCATTTTTATCTACCTAGAAGGCAACAAGGGACAGGTTTAAACCGAGGGGCACCACACCTCAGGCAAGGGGATAGGTTGAGAAGGAGAGTTCATGGTAGCCTCAGCCAGTGATGGGGGTCAGTTAGCTCAGTTGACTGGATGGCTGGTCTGCAATACAGAGTGATGCCCACAGCGTGGGTTCAATTCCCATCACTGGCTGAGGTTACCATGAAAGACTCTCCTTTTCAACCTCTTCCCCTCGCCCGAGATGTGGTGCCCCTCAGGTTAAACTTGTCTCTAGTTGCTTCTCCAACGAGGAATTAACCCCCAAATACAGCATCAGATTCTATCTAGAAGGTTTAATGTCCTCTTATGTAGGTTAGTGCTTACAACAATATACAACTCACTGTACTGCATTGGGAGTGTCAGTCTTGTCTTTCTGCTCAAATTTCTGGAGTAAGACTCAAACTTACAACATTCTGACCCAGCAACTCACGGCTGGTGCTTTAGACTTCTAGAGAGATGTTGACTTTCTCAATCTCGGGCGTAGATTGTGCCATGTTCCATTTTCTCCCATCACTTTGCCATGAGAACAGAGAACTTTTTTAGAACGTAAAACAGTACTGCACAAGAACAGGCCCTTCAGCCCATCATGTCTGTGCCAACCGTGATGCTTATCTAAACTACTACAGTCTGCCTGCACATGGTCAGTTTCCCTCTATTCTCTGTCTGTTCATGTGTTTGTCTAAATGCCTCTTAAACTTGCCATTTTTCTTTTTGATTGCAGGTACAGTGCTATTCGATGTGCTGGTGCTGTTCCTCGGTCAGCAGAGGAGATGGCTCGACTGCAGAAGTCAGTGCAACAGTCCTCTTGGTGTTCAAATGAGATGGACAGCAGCAGCAAACCCATTGTTAATGGCAACATGCGCACGGCCCCTAGAAATGTTCCTCAGCAGCCCAAGGGAATCATGGGGATGTTCTCTGCCAAATCCACTGCCAAGACACAAGATAAAGAGGTGAAAGGGGAGCCTGTCGTGGTCAAAGATGCAGAAACTGCTGTAAGTATTTGACAAATATCATGGACAAGAGAGAGAAGTGATTTGAATAATTTTTACCTCCTCTCCAGCTCACAACAGACCTTTTTGTGATAACAAGGTGTAGAGCTGGATGAACTAGGCAGGCCAAGCAGCATCAGAGGAGCAGGAAAGCTGATGTTTCGGGTCGAGACCCTTCTTCTTGTTTTTCTTCTTTTTATTCCTTTTATAAACAGACATTGGTGAGTTTCTCCAAACCTTGTTTGTGAAATCGCAGCAAAGTCTTCAGGATTATAAAGAGTAGGATTTACTGCATTCAAAACGCAGAGGAATGGATCACGATACTCGTTTACACATATTCAAAAGAAAAAGAAATCAAGACAAGAAAAGCTGCTGGTTACTTAAAATCAATGATATCAGAATTATTTCATGAGAATTGAAGTGTCTAGTGAGTCAATGTCCATGTCAATGTGAGACAAATACAAGGAATGCTGGAGAAACAGTAAATGTTTTAAGTTCAGTCTGACTCCTTCAAAACTGAAGAATCTGAAGAAGAGTCATACCAGACTTGAAACATTACATCTGTAGAAAGAGAACAGAGTTAATGAGACCTGCTGAGCTTCTCCAGCATTCTCTGTAGTCATTTCAGGTTTCCAGCATTCATGGTACTTTGATTTTATTTGAATGTCCAGTTTAGGTACCTTCAGTTGTTGTGCACAGAGGTCATTTTTATAGAAGCTTCAGGTGCACTTGAATTGCTGATGAAGGTGATGAAGTTGTAGGCTGCCAATTGGTTCACTTCACTTTTTTTCCCGAAATTAGACTTTGCAGAGATATGAAAATCGGAGCTGGTGGTTTAGCTAAGCCTAGTGTTGTTACTGTTTAGATTTTACCAGCTGACAGTGGATCAAAGCCAAAGTTATATAAGTAAAGGCAGTTTAGACAAATCGATAGTTCCAGTCCTCATTTCCAGCTTTTTGTGGTAAATAGCTGGAGACAGATGCACCAAGTCAAGTCATTATGGGTTTCAATGACCTGTTTTGTTCGGAGCTAGCTGAGGTAGACATTTTGTCTACTTGTTCTTTATAGCTGGAACATTCATACAATGCAAGGAGGATCACAGTGCCACAGATGAAGAGTTTGCTTTTGTTTTGGTAAAGGCTGGGCATCTTCAGAAGCAGTTAACTTGTCTTTTCTTTGCTAACAGAAGCCATTCTAAAATCTGGCAAGCATCCGTTTTAAAAAAAAATGAAATTTAAGCAAGATAATATTTTCATTCAAAAATGAATCATACAGTTTAGTATTTCTCTCTTCCTTTACCAGGGATGGTGCACTCAACCTCTGGGTTAAATTCAGCTGAGGCTTTAATTACTCACTGATTCATTCTTGGAGTTGGATGCAAGAAAACCAATTCAATGGACTTGTCCAGCTGGAGAGAAGATGCCACTGGCAAAGAGAGTTAGCAAGGGAGTTGAAAAGGACTGAAGTGAGATAGCTGAAAGAATGGCCACTAAATGTGGAGCGAGAAGTCCAGGGGAGTAGTCACAGGCTGGTATTCGAGGAGCAGTTAATTTTTTTTACATTAAACAAGGGGGCTGTCTTCTGGCTTCGGTTCTCAACGCAAGATCTGCCATCAATGACTCAAAAATAGTTCGGAAAATAGGTGATGAAGATGATGCATAAAATGGATTTGGACAGGTTAAATGAGTGGGCTAAAACTCGGCAAGTGGAAAATAAAGTGGAGTGATGTGAGGTTATGCATTTTGGAAGGAAGAAGAAAGGACCTGAATATTATTTACCTGGAGAAAGACTGCAGGAAGCTACAGCACAGTGGGATTTGGGAGTCCTTAGTGATGTATTAAAAAGGCCAGAATACAAGTTTAGCAGGTAATCAGGATGGCAAATGGAATGTTAACCTTTATTCAAAGAGAGTGCAGTATAAAGTTAGTTAGGTTTTGCTAAAACTATACAAGGTACTAGCCAGACCACAGATGGAATGTATGAACAGTTTAATTAAGGAAATATATCCTGGCATTGGAGGCAGTCCAGAGAAGATTCACTAGGCTGATCCTGAGAAGAGGACGATTAGTTTGGTCCTGTACTTAATGGAGCTCAGAAAAACAGGAGGCAACTTTATTTAAACAGATACGATTTTTTACAGGATTTGACAAGATGCTGAAAGGTTGTTTCTCCTTGTGAGTCTAGAAGCAGAGGACATAATTTCAGAATGAGGAGTTGCACATTTAAAACATAAGGAATTTCTTCTCGGGGTAGTGTATCTGTAGAATTCTAGATCGCAGAGAGCTGTTGAGTCTGGGTTGTTCAGTATATTCAAGACTGAGGTAGACAATTTTTTTTAATCAGTAAAGGAGTGAGGTTTATGGGGAATGGGCAGGAAAGTGGAGCTGAGGATTATCAGATCAACCATGATCTCATCAAATGGCAGGGCAAACTCGATGGGCTGAATGGCCTACTTCTGCTCCTACATTTTATGGTCTTACAGATGGCTTTCATAATCCTGACTGCACAAGCACAGTTGCGTCTGTGATGGCACACCAGTTCTTTATGGTAATTGAAATTCTCTTCAGGAAAATATTTCTGATTTATAGTCAGCATTGTAATAGTTACAAGCTAATAAAATCAAGCATACAGTGGTTATCTTCTATTCACTGTGATTTAATTGTCTTTGTGTGGTAATTGAAATTAAAATGTTAAGTCCCAAAAAAGGGGTTAAACTGTTTCATAAACATAAGAGTCATATCGGACTTGAAATGTTAACTCTGATTCCCTTTCCAGAGTTGCTGCCAGACCTGCTGAGCCTCTCCAGCACTTTATTTTTATCTAAGCTGTTTCACAGTTTGAAACCAGTTCTGTGTAATCAGGTTACCAAAGTCTGGAGGGAGAATTTTGATGTAATTATTATTACCATGAAATGGGTCAGAGACCCTTTACGTTACATTTTCACTCTAGAACCATTCATACAAAATTTTCTGTTATTTCTTTAGCCATGGTGACTTTACTTATATTTAATTCTCTATTTATATTTATTTATAATACATGGCACATTGCTGCTAGATGTGAGTGTTAAGCAAAACTTGTGATTTTACACTTGCATGTGTGTTGCTCCAACTAGCAGCAGTGTTAACCACGCAAAGCCCTCAGGTTAATATCTGGATTTCCTGCACCTTCTCAATGTTACACTGGAAAGTCTGCCTGGATTTTGATCTTCAGTCTCTGAAGTGGAGCTTTACTTTCCGTAAGGCTTGAGGGATAGTGGTGGTATGTTGTGAATGCTTCTTCTGATTCATATGCTATTGTCCCAATTCCTCGATGCACAGACTATTTTGGATATCGGATGTGTTGTCTATGAATGAAGTACTGACAACCAATCTGAAAGGTGACAACATTTTTTTCATCAATGAGTTGTTTCATTACAACCAAGTGATTTTTCACTCTCTTCTCTTCCAGGCTCCTTCAGGGAGTAAAACAACAAACAAAGGGAACAGCTTCACCAACTTTTTTCTGAAAGCCAGTGCTAGTAAGTAAACATCATTGGCAGCCATGCCTTATTTTCCTGGACTCTGAACTGTGAAATTCCCTCGCAAAAATTGTCCACCTCACCTTTTAGAAATTACCTTCTTAACCAAGATTTTTGGGCCTTATGGTTCCATATAAGGCACAACGTTGAATTTTTCTCTGATATACACTCCTGTGAAGTCCCTTAGGGTTATTTACTAAGTTAAAGGCACTATGTAATAGCATTTTAGTTGTAGTAAATTGAATGTCTATTCTGTGTGCCCCACAGATAGTTCTGCTCGCTCTTCCTCCTAAAGGATGGACCACAGTGGTCTGAAAAGGTGACTCACCACTACTTTTTCAAGGACAATTAGGGTTGAGCAAAAATTGTGTTGATCTAGCCAGAAATGCCCAGATCCTGTGAAAGAATAAATGAAGAATCTTCACATGCATCCTTGAATTGTTCAAGTCAACTGCTTGCTTTGCATACTTGGGGTCTTAGAACAAAGAACAAAGAAAATTACAGCACAGGAACAGGCCCTTTGGCCCTCCAAGCCTGTGCCGATCCAGATCCTCTATCTAAACCTGTCGCCTATTTTCCAAGGATCTGTATCCCTCTGCTCCCTGCCCATTCATGTCTAGATACATCTTAAATGACGCTATCGTGCCCACCTCTACCACCTCCGCTGCGTTTCAGGCACCCACCACCCTCTGCGTAAAGAACTTTCCATGCATATCTCCCTTAAACTTTTCCCCTCTCACCTTGAAATTGTGACCCCTAGTAATTGAGTCCCCCACTCTGGGGAAAAAGCTTCTTGCTATCCACCCTGTCTATACCTCTCATGATTTTGTAGACCTCAATCAGGTTCTCCCCTCAACCTCCATCTTTCTATTGTAAATAATCCCAATCTACTCAACCTCTCGTCATAGCTAGCGCCCTCCATACCAGGCAACATCCTGGTGAAGCTCCTCTGCACCCTCTCCAAAGCATCCACATCCTTTTGGTAATGTGGCAACCAGAACTGTACGCAGTATTCCAAATGTGGTCGAACCAAAGTCCTATACAACTGTAACATGACCTGCCAACTCTGGTACTCAATACCCCGTCCGATGAATGAAAGCATGCCGTATGCCTTCTTGACCATTCTATCGACCTGCATTGCCACCTTCAGGGTACAATGGACCTGAACACCCAGATCTCTCTGTGTATCAATTTTCCCCCGGGCTTTTCCATTTACCATATAGTTCGCTGTTGGATCGGATCTTCCAAAATGCATCACCTCGCATTTGCCTGGATTGAACTCCATCTGCCATTTCTCCGCCCAACTCTCCAATCTATCTATATTCTGCTGCATTCTCCGACAGTCCCCTTCACTTTCTGCTACTCCGCCAATCTTAGTGTCATCTGCATCTTAGTGCCTTCTATTTTAATTACTGATTTTTGTTTTTGTGTGTATCAAAATTTGGAATAATGCCACACCTTATTTAGTTTTAAACAGCTCAAAGCTGCTTCTTGAGGAATAATGACTGTTGCGTGTGTGAGAAATATGAAGTCTCTTTGAAAAATACCCAGAACTAAATCTGCTTCAAAACCCACAGAGAAAGGTTCATCTCCATTCAGTCAAGCCACCGAGGAAGAAGACCTTCCGGCCAAATCCACTCAGGAAAACCCAGAGAAAGGGGATATCCCTGCAGTTGAAGATAGCACTGTCAAACCTGTATCAGACAGAGACAGAGGGGGAGATGGAGAGAGGTCCCCCACAAGCATGGCTTCAGCACAGAAGTCACAAGCAAATCAGGAGAAAATCCAGACAAAGAAGGACACAGCGAACAAACAACAACAAAAAGATGGACAAAGGTTAGTTGTGAATGGGTGGCTGAGTGTCGGATGGATGGATGGACAGATGATTGAAAAATACAAATCATCATTCAAAATATCATTATAGACAATAAAATAAAACAGAAAATAATAAAATGCTTGCATAGTCATGAACACTTCAATAAACAGATAGTTGCAAAATGCAAGTTTGCTTAATTTGCACTACAGAATAAAAACGAAAGGTTTCCTTCAATCTGTATTTTGTTTGGAAGATTGTGTTGTCAGGTTGAGTTTGTTAAATTCTCGAGCGTTGATGAACTAGGTGAGCTTTATCAAGTAAGGGATTGTGCTGTCGCATAATCTATTTATTGCATTTGTGATTGTAGAACAGTGCCTTTCTTTGTTCCGTCACTTTTTTTTTGAAGCAAGAGATTGTGTTAAGATTCCATCCGATGGTACTACTGGACAAATCAGATCCCAGAAAGAAACCCAGCTTGGAAGATATGTTGAGTTAGTTTTGTTTAGCTAGTCTGTGTGGTGGCCAGCCACTGAAACATATATTTGCATGAAGTTGTAGAATTTCTTCCAACTATCGAACATTAGTTTATTACACAAAAGAAAGCAAGCTATGTACATATTACAGTTAGAGAGATCTTAACACTGACATTAAAACAAAGTTTCAATCCGTATTGCAACGCTGTTACAGAGATTCAAGTCCAGAGGAATTATATTCTTGTCTCCACTTTTGAAGTTTCTATTTAACTGACCGCATCGAGTTTCTACTTGTTGAACTGTAGAAATAGTTTTATGATTTCTGTCCGTATTTGATGGCTTGAACCGTTCACAGTCCTGATGGCGAGTATTGCCTCTAAGCTGTACACGTATGCAGCCACTCCCATGTTTTGCGCAAGGTGATTGGCATCAACATGCCAGTCATGGCATTAACTTGCAGTTCTGAAGTCACTGCCATATGCTGGCATTGGAGCTGGTAAGAAGATTTGAGGGAACACTGCAGATGGCCTACACTTTTTCAATTCTAACAGCCTGAAGATTTTTATTCCCAATTCTCCCAGCTTGGAAATCTTTTCAAACTAGAAACAACACTGCTGCAATGACTGGCTTCCTCTGAACTGAACTGAAATCTGCTTGGAGAATAACCTTTCCCTCCTCAACTGAACTGTACTAGCAGAGAAACTCAAACTAGCCTCTGAACTCTTAATTCTTCTCATAAAACCCTGGTGTACAAACTGAACTAAACTAAAACAAAACTAATGATTTAATGTGTTTGCACTGTCTGCTATAAACCCAAAAGTATAAACATCTTATTCTATTAACATTCCAGGGCTTCTCCCAACCCTGCCATGATGTTGTTTATCTAGTGCTTTTAATGTCAATATGCATAGAGCAAATTGGCTGCACACCTTTTTATTGTTATTACCTAAAAGACCATCGGAAATCACTGACTAATTTGAAATATCTTCCTCCTCTAAAGCAGCAAGAAAACCAAGCGCAATATTCCATTTACCAGTGAGGAGCAGGAGCCTTGTAATAAACGGAGGAGGAGGATCAGACAGCCTCAGTCAGACAGTAGTGATGACGAAGGTGATGTATAATTTTGCAATTTAGTTTGAATCCTTTCTGGCCAGAGAATAAATATTTTCAATTAGGAAAAAAATAGTTAGGTAAGTCTTACTCAATTTTAAGTTTTGAGATGGATGCAAACCCTGAAACAGTAGATAACACTGTGGTGTATGCTTTCAGCCCTTCACTGGATGGGAGCACACTGGCTGGGCTGTAGAATTCCTAACCTCTGACCTGCTATGGTAACCACACTATTTGTATGACTGATCCAGTTCAGTTTCTGGTCAATGGTAACCCAAAGTTATCATTTTATTCTCTAGCGGGAGATTCAGTGATATTAATGCCATTGAATATCAAGGGCCAGTGGTTGGATTCTGTCTTGTTGAACACAGCCATCGTCTGGCACTTGTGTGGCACTAATGTTGTTTGTCACATCATATAAACTTGAACAATGTCCTGTTGCACGTGGACACAAGTTGCTTCAATACTTGAGGGGTCATGAATAGTTCTATACATTGTACAATCATCAGTGAACATCCCCACATCTGACCTTGTAATGGAGGGCGGGTCACTGAATCAGCTGAAAATGATTGGAACATGGAAACTACTCTGAGAAACTGCTGCATTGATGTCCAATTGAGACAATTGACTTTCAACAACCACAACCATCTTCCTTCTGCTAGGTATGCTTACAATCAGCAGTGTGTGTCTGGGGCCTTGGATAGTGAGGAGGGAAAAGTAAAATGGGCAAATGTTGCACCTTCTGCAATTGCATGGAAGGTGTTGGGAGTGGAGGAGCAGTGAACCAGGGTGTCCCAGAAAGAACAGTCCCTGTGGAATGCTGACAAGGGAGGAAAATGTGTGTCTGAAGGTGGCAGGAATGACATTTCATGGTTCTTTGGATATGGAGGCTGGTAGGGTGGGAAATGACTGGGGTACACTATCGTTGTTGTGGAAGGGAAGGGAAGGGATGAGGGCAGAAACACAAGAAATGGGTCAGAAATGGGTGAAGGCCCTTTCAACCTTGGACGGGGAATAAAGTGGACATTCTGAGACCCTCCTGTGGAAGGTAGCATCAGAATGAAGGTGACAGAGACGGAGAAACTGGGAAAATGGAATAGAGTCATTGCAGGAAGTGGTGTGAGATGATGTATAGTCGAAGTAACTTTGAGAGTCAGTTAATTTGTAGTGGATATCGGTAGCCAGCCTATCTCCAGAAATAGAAACAGATATGGAGGAAGGGAAAGGAGGAGTAAGAGATGGACCAGGTGGAACGTAAGGGTTGGCTGGACATTGGAAGCAAAATTGCTCAATTTTTCCAATTTCAGATGAGCGGGGGAAGCAGCATTTATTATGTTATTGATGTACCAGAGAAAGTTGTGAGGAGAGACCCAAGTAGGACTCGAACAAGGAATGTTCTACATAACTGACAAAGAGACAAGCATAACTGAGCTCATATGTTTGATGAAAGTGAGAGAAGTTAACGGAGAACTTATTCAAAGTGAGGACGTGCTTGGGCAGGCAGAGGAGGGTGGTGGTGGAAGATGGGGGCGGTTCAGGCCATCTTTCCAGGAAGAAGCAGAGAGATCTCAGACCATCTGACAGGAATGGACATGTAAAGGGATTGCATGTCCATGGTGAATAGGAGGCAGCTACTGCTGGCAAACTGGAAATCTTGAAAGTGACGTAAAGTATGAGACAAATCACGGATGTCAGTGGAAAGGGACTGCACAAGAAGAGAGAAAATAATGTTCAGTTAGGGAAAAATAAGTTCCTCGGGACAGGAACAGGTTGAAACTATGGATCTGCATGGGCAGTCCTGTTTGTGGATTTTAGGAAAGAGGTAGAAGTAGAGTTGTACGAGGTTGGGAGAAGATGAGCTGGGAAGCTATGACAGGGGACCCCAGATGAGGTGAAGTTAGTAATGGTTGTGGAAGCAACAGCTTGATGTTCGATGGTGGGGCCATGGTCTAGGGGAGATAGGAAATGCTCGAGAGCTACCACTTTGCTTATGCAACGTAGAGGTCAGCACACCAGACAACAACGGCACTACCCTTGTCAGCAGGTTTGATTACAAAGTCATGGTTGGATCTGAAAGAACTGAGAGCAGTAAATTCAGAGGGAGATAGGTTAGAATGGGTGAGGAAAACAGAGTATTTAAGGTGACCAATGACAGTTCTCAATGACCAGCTTGAATACAGATAAGAGACCGGGGGATGGTTGAGGAGAGGAGAGAGTTTTGGAGGTGGGTGATTGGGTCAGTGGGACAGGGAGAGGATTCCTGCCCACAAAAATGGGCACAGAAGTAAAGACTATGGAAGATAAGTTCGATATCTTGTCCTGTATAAAATTCATTATGGTGGGGATGGAACTAAGTACTTTGGGTACAGGTTGTTAAGCATCGGAGAGAGGAAGGGATGGAGTCAAAGGGAACTGGAGGTGAGTAAGATTCCAGAAGGGCTTGGGCACCTCAGAGTTGTTACAATTTGCATTCCTTAGTATTTGAAAGGAAGAGAAAAAGTTTCTTGTAAAAACATCAAAAAAGCTGAAGAATGAAGTCGAACTGAGGTGTTGGACAGCTTTGAGACAGTGTGAAGCAGTGCTGATGGAGAGGGAGGACAAGATTATGCATATGGTAGCAAATAGCACTGGCTGTGGATCTCGGCAACAACAGCTGCCCGAAGTTAGCTCCTTTGTTCATGTTTGGATTGAGGCTGTAATGAAGCCAGCCAGGAGCTAAGTGGCAATCTTTGCAGTTAAGTAAGAGGACCAACAATGTTATGGGAACACTGCTGCTCCCAAATCATTATGACTGCCATGCATTACAGTCCTTGCATTACTGCTAGATCAATTTCCTGGACTCTAGGTAGATAGGATTTTGAAGAAGGCATTTGGTCTGCTTGCCTTTATTGGTCAGTGCATTGAGTATAGGAGTTTGGAGGTCATGCTGTGGCTGTACAGGACATTGGTTCGTCTGCTTTTGAGAGGAGGATGTTATGACAAGGAGGAGGGAGAAAAATGATCTTGGACGCTTATAAGATTTGGAGTTACAAGCTAACCTGTGCTTTGAGAAGAGTGCCCAAAGATTCATACAGCTTGGAGTCTGCTGTTGATGGCAAGGCTGTCAATTTTTCAGAGTGGTGGGGGAGCCAAGAGGGAAGGTTTTGATTTTACCTGCACCTGCTTTGAATAAATTCTGATCAAAATTGAACATTGCATTTATTTTGTTTTCAGTATTGAGCAGCTCTCCTTGTCACTCAAGTTCTTGGTTTTCTGTTCCAGTAATCCCAGACTCTCCTGAAGCTTGTGGTATAAGGACTCCATCACCATCCCCTGAAGAATCAACTAGGGAAGAGGATACATCACCTCAGTGCCTTGCAGACATTGAGATTAAGCCACCATGTTGGGAAAATGCAGATGGATCTGAGGTAATGCACAGTTCTTCCAGTAGCTAGTTTATGCAGAAATAATTTGCAGAATGGTTATACAGAGTTTCAGGCGGGAGCTGTGGCCTGTATCTAGATGTGAAAGGAATAGAACAAGCTGCTACAGTAAAAATCAGTCTTTAAACATGCAATCCAGGATTGGACCCGACTAGGTTTGTAGTGCTGACTTTGGTTTAATACCATTAAGTGTGGTTCATTTTCTAGAAAAACACAAAACTGCACTCTACAACAGAAGGTGGGAGTGGTGCAATGATAGAGGGATTTGAAAATCAGGATGGAGGCTTAAACAATAAGTTGTTGCTGGACTTGGAGCCGGAGGCTGTTTGACCAATTGGATTTGTACCAGAGGCACCCCTAAGCATTGGGTCCTACTTTCTTCCCATTATGTCTCTCAGCTTCATCAGCCTCATGTGTTGGCTAATTTTCACTTAAAATGATGCTTTCCACATTTATGTGCCCATTGGGAAAAGACCATGCATGTTTGATATAAATCTGAATTCATGTCAGTGCACCAATTACTCCTCCCATTCCAACATTTTGGAAGGGCCAAAAATCCCAGATAAATGTGTGAAAAGCTTATTAAAGGTCTTTGATACCACATTCAGGATTCAACAATCCAGCAAGCATTTTCTCTCAGGTGGTAAACTATTTTACCCAACCTCTTCATCGTCACCTCAACCTTTATAATGAACTGATACCAGTATCTCCCTAATGATCATTATCTGAGTTAAAATAATGGACATCTGAATAAGATTCAGGGAGACAGTGGCATTGTGTTAGTGCCTAGTGATGACTCTTCATAAAACTGTTCATTGTGTCCGGATCTTGTAAATTTTTGTCCATTATTGATCCAGTTCTTTTTTTGAGACTTTTACTACTGAATCTGTTTCAAACATTTCCTGTCAGGCTCTGCTTTCTAGGTTACTATAAGTATTTTGTATATATATTTTTAAAACCTTTTACTTTTTACCCATCATCTTCGTGTCCACTGATTACTGACTCTTTTGCTGCACATGTTGAGGCTCTGGCTGTATTATCAAGTGAAAAGGATAAATACTAGAAACCAGAATGAAAGCAGAAAATGTGCATCTGGTTGATCAGATGCCATCTGGAGTAGAGAAATTGGTCCATGTTACAGCTTCATTCCATCTTCCTCTATTTCCACTCCTCCCCCAACCAGAAAGCAGTGGGAGTGAAACGTAGGAGACGGCGACGAGTTCTCAAATCCAAGATGTTTCTGGATGAAGAGGGTGCTATGGGTAAGATTTACCAGTTAATACATGATTCTTAATACCATTTGTTCGGTTATCAGGAAGCCCACACAAAGTGAAGGAAAGGGTCCTCCGATTGAAGAGGCTTTGAGGGTTGATGGAGTCCTCTTACTGGAGAGGCCAGGGTGGGGCTTAGTCTGCAGCTCAGCTCTTGAGTTGAAGACGATGTTGAATCTTGGTTCACTCTGTGATGGTAGCCAGGGAAGGAAATGGAGTCAGTGGTAAGAACATTGTGCGGTTGCTTGGGGTGGAGGGAGGGGTGTAAAGCAATGGCTTTGATCTTCCTAGCGTTTCACTGAAAGAAATTGCAGCTAATCCGAGACTGGATGTTGGACACGGTAATCGGACAGGGGAGGGAAGTGAGAGTTTGGCGTTGTATTTGTGCTTGTGGAATCTATCGTATGATGCTGTCGAGATTCACTGAAACTACATTTAAAGTAGTTTGTCATACTCCTATGTAGAATATATCTGTTAAGCCTCTTTACATTTGCCCCCTCCCCTTCCCCACATTCTATATCAGTGACAGAAAAGGTTTATCAGAGTGAGTCGTGCACTGACAGCGAGGATGAGTTTGTGGCGAAGCAACAAGAGTCGAAGAATCTCTTGGGACCCAAACCTAACACCGCAAAGAGCACATTGGGAAGCAAAGACCAGCTAAAGGAGCACAAGGATAAGAAAGCATCAGCCTCCAGTAGGGCAGGCAAGCAGGCATCCATCATGGGATTCTTCAAAAAGGCTGTTTAGGAGCACCTTCCATCTGGTCTCATGCTGACCCAACCTAAATCAACCAGTATTGAATGTGCGTCAACAGTCATCGTGGACAGACATTGAGATCCAAACCAAAGTCTGAAAAGCTAACCATTGGCTCTCGGTTTATTTGAAACAAGCTGTAAACAAGAAGAAAACTTGGTGCTGGACAAATCAGGTGTTGAGAAAGGTCACCGTTAACTGAGCAGCTCACATACCTTGAGTGGCACTCCATTTGGAGTGAAGTTACCTCTAGAGACAATTTCTCATTGCACACTTAAACATTGTATATTACTGTCCAGAGTCTTTATGCTCTGTCACTGCTTTGGGAATAATCTTCAAACTTTATTCTATATGGTACTACTACTTGGTATTTCAATGGGATGACATCGACTAACTGGATCTCTTCAATTCTCTGAAGTGATAATCACTAACAGTGTTTCAAATAGAAGCCTTTGCATGTGATAGTTACAGGACCATGGGGTTGGGTTTTAACCATCTCCCTGGCTGAGTCTGTTTCAGCAGAGGGTATTTAAAAAGTGATTGTGATCAAAAACAGAAGAGAAAAAAAGGCCTGGTTGTTTGTTTTTGAAAAGCAACTTTTGTGAACAATTTCAGGTGAGTTGAGGTTTTTACATTTGGGAGGATAAGCTTCTTTACTCTGTATGCTGCCTCGGCCTCTACTGTTACAACAGGTGTTACTGATGTACATTGCTGCCTTGTACACTGTTTTGTGTCCTGTTGAAATATCTCAATAGTCCTGTAAAGTCCTCTGAGAAGGTTAAGGGATTTTAAGCATTTTTTCTGTAGTGCTGCTCTTGTCCCCAGCATGTTCAACATTGGGAACAGTTTGATAGTTTCACAACAATCCATGATTAACTTTCCTGCCTCACCCTCTATGACCAGGGAGATGTCTATAGATTTTAGAGGGCATTACAATGTTGTTTGCACATTTTCCACAAGTCACTGGACAGTGAACACGAGTACAACAAAATTCATTTAGTTTTATTTTCCTTAATTTGGCACTAAACCCAGCATACTTATTGCCCCAGGTAATATAAGCTATGCCTTCCCACTCTGATTCTGATATGTAACCTAGTCTGTATGGCTCCTATGTTTGCACCAGATGATTACATTTATTTACTGAGATTACCCCCACCCCACATCTCAAGTGAGCTCTAAGGAATGCTTTCAGTGACTGTCTGCCGTTGTCTAAATACAACTTCTGAGACAGGACGTTAAGTTCACATTTTCATTTTACTGTCTGAATTAAAGAAGTTTATCCTAACTCTCAACCAGTTCTGTTCAGTTCAACTTTGGGTAGGGTACACTTAACTGGTATTCTTGGGAAGTCTTAATCAATAAGTGATAATGGGAATTGTGGAGACTGGCAGAGGCCCTGACAAGGTGCATATTTGTAAATGAACAGTGCTGGGGGAGTATCTCATTATTTATTGTGATCCTCCAGGCATAGGTGTAAACTGACAGTCCCTAAAGTTTGTCAAGTTCTCAATAACATGATATTTGTGCAAATATCCTGCTTTGCAGTGTAGGAACATGGGACACATGTCCTTCCACATACTGATTTAATTATTAGTCTGAACTGTCCAATGCCAGATTTTTGACGTTTTTAAATTTCTTCAATTAAAATTGTATTCATGCTATGTATATTTATTTCCAGCACAGAAAGCACTGCTTACTACCCCTAGCCAGTTGCAATTCTGAGGACTGTGAGGAGACGGTTTCTGTGGGGAAATACTTCAGTATAAGAATTCACAATCATGAAGGGGACTGTCAATGCGAGGTGCATGCAACTTCCAGACATAATTTCATTCGTATTTCAGGCCTTGTAAATGGAACTGGGCTAGCTTGGGGAGGAGGGGAGGTGTTGAAGAATAGGGAGGTATGTGGGTGGGGTGGGTTGGATGAGTTCTAGATTTGAGTAATTCAATTAACAATTTTCTGTTTTAAAGTTTATCATACATGAATAAAAGTTCTTTTAAGTAATCCATTTCAAATTATCCAGTATATACCTGCACAGCGGAGGGTCTTGAGACAGGCAATGTCTCAATTGACAGGTAATGTCAATTGGTTAGTAATCCAGAGTCCTAAGCTAAAGTTCTGGGAACGTGGATTCAAATACCATGGCAGATGGTGAAATTTGAGTTTAATTTTTAAAAGCCTGGAATTAAAAATAAGTAGTTGATGAAGGGTGTAAACCTGAAGCGTCGACTTTCCTGGTCCTCTAATGTTGCCTGACCCACTGCGTTCCTCCAGCTCCACATGGAAGTGACAACCTTGTCAAGCTACAAATTAACTGCTTATGGGCTAAACAGCATAAGCTTCTGCAGGAGAGACGTAAGTGATTCCACAACCAATGAATCATATATAAACTCTGCAGTCCTGTCACATCTAGTTGTGAATGATGATTGATAATTAACTCACTGGACAAGGCTGCACAAATATCCCCACCCTCATGAGGGGAAGCCCAACATATCCGAGGACAAATGAAGCTGAAACCTTTGCAACCATCTTCACCCAGAAGGATTGAGTAGATGATCCATCTTAGCCTCCTCAGGAGGTCCCCTCTATCACAGATGCCAGTCCTGAGCCAATTTGATTCACTCCACAGGATATCAAGAAAAAGGTGAAAGTATTAGCTACTGCTCTGACAAAACTATGGGCTCTGAAAACATTTCAGCAATAGCATTCAAGATTTGTGCCTCAAAACTTGTTGTGTCCCTAGCCAAGCTGTTCCAATACAGCTACAACATCGGCATCTACCCAATCATGTGGAAAATTGCCCAGCTGTCTCCTCCACACAAAAAGCAGGACAAATCCAAACTAATTAGCATGCTATCAGTCTCTCATCAGTAAAATAATTAAACAGTAATGCTGTCAAAGAGCAGTTCCTTGGCTCATTAATGTTCAGCTTGTGTTGTGCCTAGGCTATGCAGTTCCTGACCTGATTACAGCTGTGGTTCAAACACAAACAGAAGTGCAGAACTCCAGGAGGTGTGGACTGTTGGACTGAAGGGTCTGCTTCCATGCTGTATGACTCTGAGTAAGGTGAGAGTGACTGCTTTGACATTTGACCAAGTTTCGTGCCCAGGAATCCTGGCAAAATTTGATAAATGGGAATTGAGGGGAAAACTCTGCAAATACCTGGCACAAAAAAAAATGGTTGTAGTACAACATCGTGGGCCGACGGGCCTGTTCCTGTGCTGCACCGTTCTATGTTATGTTATGTTATTGGAGATCAGTCACCTTGCTCTGGGTTATCTCTGCATGAGTTCCTCAGGGTAGTATCCTTGGACCAACTGTCTTTAACTGCTTCATCAATGATCTTCCCTCCATCATAAGGTTAGAAATGGGAATGTTTGCTGACTGGCAGTTATGCTATACAGCGTTAGGCAATGACCATCTCCAACAAGACAGAATCTAACTGCTGCCCCATTATCAACATCCTGGGCATTACCATTAACCATAATATGAACTGGACTACCCATCTGAATACTGTCACTACAAGAGCAGGTTAGAGGCCAGGAATCCTGCAGTGAGTAATCCACCTGACTCCCTAAAACCTGTCCACCATCTATAAAGCTCAAGTCAAGAGTGTGATGGAATACTCCCTACTTGTTTGAATCAGAGCAGCTCCCTCAACACTTAAGGAAATAAACACCATCCAGGACAAGGCAGCCTGCTGGATTGGCATCACATCCTGAATTGAATTGGCTTTATTGTCAAATGTATTCAAATTAATACAGTGAAAAGTTTATATATTGCCACTTACAGTGCCATCTTAGGTACAAAGGTACGTAGGTACAATCCTTAGTTACAGGCTAGAGAAATGAGGGAAAAAAAAAGTTACATTACAGCTATACACAGAATGACCATAGGTCCAAAAAAAAACAAGAAGCAAAGTTAAAAAGACAAACATCGCAGCGTCTCTCCAAAGGCTCCATGTGGTCTGACTGCTGGCTGCTGCCACATTGCGCTGGGCTGCTAGTCGCTGATGTCCCTACTCTGGCCGCTGGTGTCTCCACCAATGCTGTGTCAGAGGCTGTTCCTCAAACTACCAACATTAAGTAGAACCAGTGTGTATCATCTATCACAGATGAAGGCTCCTTAGACAGCGCTTTGCAAACACAAAATCCTGGAACTCCCTAATAGCGTTGTGCATGTTACTAAACCAAATGGACTGGAGCAATTCAAGAAGGCAGCTTACCACCATCTTATCAAAGGTAACTAGGGGCAGTCGATAAATGATGGAATGTGAGCTTTGCTAGCTGGACCAGCAATGAATTTTAAAGAACTGCAATAGTTGTATTTATATAGTCCCTTTCACATAATAAGATATCCCAAGACACAAGGAGTCGTACCAAAGAAAAGTTGACACCAAGCCACATTATGAGGACAGATGACCGAAATTTTGGTTACAGGTTGGTTTTGCAGAGTGCCTTAAAGGAGAGATAGCAAGTGGATGTAGGAGAGGAAGTCCAGAGCTCAGGGATCTGATGATATGTAACCATCCAAACTCTCATGGCATCCCTACGTAATGAAGGAAAAAACTGACGAAGGAATTAGTGCCTTCTAATAGTACTGTTGATGTGCCTGGATGCCATGGACTGTAGCAGTTCCTGAAGAGAGATTACCACCACTTTCTCAAAAGTAATTGTGAATGGGAAATAAATGCCAGTCTTACTTGTGACACCTACATCCTGTGAGTGAATATATAAAAGTGCTGAGGATGGAACTTTCTGATCCCAAGGCCAAATACCATGCAGTCAGTTGTAATACTCTACCGCCATTTTGGCTGGTTCCACACAACCTAGGGTTGGACCACAAGTCCTTCCTGATCTCTGACTGGGCTACATAGTTGGGATTAAAGTTGCTGCATAATGGGGATCACCATACCTTCACTGCATCCTGGTAACTGGACAACAGAATTCCTTGCTTCACTGCCATCTCTGGGTTCTAAAACATCCAACTTTGATGTTAAATGTTTTAAATTAATTAGTAGGATTAGAATGGCATAATTTATTGCCCATTCCTAAATACCTTTGAGAAAGTATTTCAGAGGGCAGTTTAAAGTCAACCCCATGATGTTGATTTGCATTCATACACAGGCTAAACCAAATAAGGACAGCAGATTTCTTTCACTGAAAGACATCAAAGAACCAGAGAAAGTAGGAACTGCCGATGCTGGAGAATCTGAGATAACAAGGTGTAGAGCTGGATGAACACAGCAGGCCAGGCAGCATCAGAGGAGCAGGACGTTTTGGGTCTGGACCCTTCTTCAGAAATGGGCCCAGCTTTCCTGCTCCTCTGATGCTGTCTGGCCTGCTATGTTCATCCAGCTCTACATCAAAGAACCAGATGCGTTTTTTTGACAATCTAGTAGTTTTATAGTCACTATTTTTGATACTCATTTTTCCTTTCGGTGTACTTAGTAAAATGAACTTGAAATTCCCCCACCTGCCAAAATAGGATTTGAACTCCTCTCCAATCATTGGTCCATACCTTGGATCATTAGTCCAGTAGCAAAGCCACTTTCCAACACTCCCAGTCGATCTAATTTACCTCCTCTTCAACAGTTTGCAGTTACGTTGTTGCTGTAACCAGTAGGATCTTAGTCGTGTTTCTGAACTTTAATAAAACTCCCCCTTCATTCTGACAGTATAATGTTCCACTCCAGTGACATCATGAATAGGGGCATGGGTGGGGGAGGAGGGGGCAGAGGGAGAGGGGTGCCACAGAGTGACTGGACTAAAATGACGTGAAAAGCTATTCCAGGGCACCTGCCCCGCTAGGCTGCAATTATCCAACATTTCCATGTGGAAACGCATTATTGGACCAAGAGAGCAGTGAGTGCTTAGATACTGCACTTGGATGGCTGAGAGTATATTCAGAGAGAGATACTCATCAACTGCAACTTGATTTTGTGTGGTGCGTTTATGTTGAGAAATGTCTCAGTGGGGGAAGGGGTGGGGAGTCGGTGCATGCTGGTGACTGAGTATTCCGGAGTCTTTTCAAAGGGGTGAGGACAAGAGGTTTAAGGAAAGAATTCCAAAGCAGATCTTAGTTGAGGTGAGTGGAGGACAACAGTCTCATGTCCGTGAGTTAACTGGTGTGGGGAGGTTGTGCAGATTTGCTCAGTTAGAACAGGCTGTAGAATTAGGCAAGGTGGCATTTCAATACGAAGTGTCCAGGATAAGGTGACCTAATGACCTGGTTTTGTTGGTGCGGTTACAATTTTACATTAAATGTCCCAATGCCCTGACAATTTCCTAAA